GGAAGGGAACGTGGGAGCTGTCACTTCCCTTACAGTCCTGTAATTCCATCCAAGGACAGCGTGGAGGTAAATTTAAATTGTATAACAAATACAGACGACTCCACAAGGCGTTTTTTCTTGGTCCTCAGAATCAGAGGTTCTCAGGAAGGAAGCCCTACTTTCCAAATCTAAGTTCTTGAGTTGTCATAATAACTCAAGATACCAGCCCTGCGTCTTTCTGTGCTGCACTCTGCACATCACTGAACAAGTACAGACATACCATCAGGCACTCATGCAAGCAAGAAATCAGCCTGAAATTATGAAAGCCTAGAATCTGCCTCTAATTTCTGGCATGATTCTATGCAAAGTGTGTATTTTTACACATGTAAGTATACAGTAATCCAAGGCAGGTGTGGTGGTACAATGTGATCTTGAAAGCCAAACACCACAGGGAGGCTGAGGCAGGAAGAGGCTAAGTTCAAGCCTTGCCTGGTTCACTTTAGCAACTAGCAAGTTTTTTTGTTTTTTTTTGTTTTTTTTCCCCCGGTACCAGGGATCGAACTCAGGACCCTGCACTTGCCAGGCAGGCACTTATTCTACTGAACTATCTCCTCAGCCCAGCAACTAGCAAGATTTTGTCTCAAAATAAAAAGTATAAATGGCTGGGTGTACAGTTTAGTGTGAAGACCCTGTGTTCAATCCTGAGTACTGTAAGGCACATTAAAAACAAAACAAAACAAAATAACAACAACAAAAAAACAAACAGTCTGCCCTTATCTATGGGGGGCATAGCCCAAAGGCCTACTGGATGGCTGAAACCAAAGGGGGCACTGAGCCCTGTCTACACTGTTTTTTGTCCAGGGAGATCTACTGAGGTAGAAGATAAAAAGACACAGGGAGAAATGAGACAGTAAAAACTGTAATTAAAATATTGTCCTTCGGGACATAGAGTTTGCTGTGGTTAGGATGCTGCTGTCCCTTCCAAGAAACTCAATCCAAAAAGAAAAAAAAACCTACTCCTAAGGGCCTTAAAATATGATATGTCTGTAAACTGGACTCATGGCCAGGGAGATAGCTTGGTGGTCTAAGCGCCTGCCTAGGCAAGCGAAAGGACCCGGGTACTACGTGTGCCGGCCCTACACCAAGCAGGCCACTGAAACCAGGTGTGATGGTGTTGGCCTGTAATCCCAGCGCTGGGGAGGCTGAAACAGGAGGATCACTATGAGTCTGAGCTGTGTAGCGAAACCCTGTACCAAATGAATGAATGAATGATTTAAAAAATATATTTTAAAACTGAGCTTCTGCCTTCCACCTGTAAGTTGAGACCGCCCTTCCTCCCGCAGGGCTCTATCCTCAAGGAAGCAGTGCTAACGGGTAGGCTGCAGCCCTAGGAACGTCAGACACAGAGAAATGCCTCACATGCTGACTCAGGCCAACAGACAGCCTGACAGAGAACAGGAAAGCGCACGCTATCCATCCTGAGGATGGTCCATGGATACCCAGGCCCATGGTGCACGTCCTTCCTGCGGGCCTGCAGGTTTTTCTGGGAGTGCGCACTGCTAGCCACCTAACTGTATGCCTCTCACTGGCTCACTCTACAATTCTTCCCCATGACATACACACATCAACAAACCTGCAACCTATCCTATGGATGGGGGAATTGAGGTCCCCATCATCTCCTTGGGGGGACCTCTTCCCACATCATCCAGTGACACTACATAGCACAGTAAGAGGTAAATAGTGATGGTTAATAACTGAAGAACTATGAAAATCTACAGTATTGGTATCACTTTCAAGATTATTTCCTTATACAGAATTCAACATCCCCTGACCTGTTTTGCAGCACTGAGCACTGAGGATTGAGCCCAGGGCCTTTGCACTGAGCTACAACACCACCCATTTATTTATTTATTTATTTATTTATTTATTTATGAGACAGGGTCTAGCTAAGTCCCAAGTTGACCAAACTTGACTCAAACTTATATTCCTCCTGCCTCTGCCTCCCAGAGCACTGGGATTACAGCTATGCACCACCATGCTCAACTCTCACCCTTTCAGTAATAATGGGGGATAACACAGTGCCTCTATGAGGACATGTGGACAGAAGCACTAAGCAGCATTATGGTATCAAATAAAAATGATTTGAGTACCATCAATCTGATAACCAAGATGGCACTGAGTGCCTAAAAGGCAGGTAGTGTATAAGGTGCAGATACACTGGACAGATACACATAACCCCTGGTGATGACATTATGGGATGGTGCAAAAAAAGTTCACAATTTAAAACTTATAAGTTCTTTTTTGAATTTAAGATTTAATACTGCCAAATCATAATTGACCACACATGGCTGAAACCATGCAAAACAAAACTGTAGTGAAGAGAAGAGGACTCACCCTCAATTTTTTAAGATGTAACTTTTGCCAACACTCTATTTAGTTTGAGACTTTGCCAAGGACTGGTCATGGTTTTGTAGGAGGATTCCTAGTTCAAGCCTAGCCTGGGTCATTTGATCTTGTCTCATCTCTGAGAGCTGATGAGCACTTCATCCTCCCAGTGCTGCTGGTACTTTGATATCCAGGTTAATACCAAGGGGTGACTAGGGATTTGTACTTAATGTGGCATTTGTACACTAAAATATGAGTTCCTTAATTATAAATTCTTCTTTTGTTTCCTATCTATTGATTTTTTTGGAAATCAGATAGTATACTGGTAGGCTGTGCATCTGTGGATTTGAGAACCTAAGGGGCTTCTGCAGCAGATCTGAATGGAGGGAGGCCGCTCCTTCTTGTTTGTTTTCCTTCACTCAGGGTAACTATTCCACACTTCATCCTCCCAGTGCTATCAACATTTCCTTCTTGGAGGCCACTGTGAAGGAGGCCACGAATGCATTCCATTGATGACATCCGAATCTGCCACCTACTCCCCCCCCCCTTTTTTTTTGTACTGGGAATAGAACTCAGGACCTTACACTTGCTAGGCAGTCACTATGCCACTGAGCTACACCCTGGTGCCTCCACTCTCTTATTAATGGGGGAGCTCTGGTTGTCTTCAGTGTGGGTATCATGAACAAAGCAGATGTGTACAAGTCTGTACAAGTCCTTTAGGAGTGTAACTTCCCAGTCCCCTTGGACATTTGCCTAGAAAAGGAGTGGCTAGTGATACAGCAACTATGTTTAACTTAAAAAACAAACAAACAAAAAAAGCTTGCCAAACTCTTTCCACATCTACCAAACTACTTTATACTCATACCAGCTGGACCCACAATCAAAAATGGCCTTAAGCCTTGGGTGGCTACAGGTTGAAGAACACAAAGTCATTTAACAACCCAATGAAAAAATGGTTTGGTTTTTACTATTTGTTTGTTTGTTTGGCTTGGTTTGTTTTTGAGACAGTCTTTCTACATAGCTCCAGCTGGCCAAGCACTCTGCCTCAGCCTTCCAAGTGGTAAGATTGTAGATGAGTCACCATGCCCAACCAGGTGCTTCATTCTAAAACTCAGAGTAGGAGCAGCAAAGCAATGCAGAATTGGCTGCTAAGAGGAGCCAGAGGGGTAAGAAACCACGGTAGAACTTTGCCCACCATCCCCCACCTTCCCAGGACCTCATGAGTCCCTACAGCCCTCAGCTAACCTGAGGCTCACTGGTTAGCTGGAGAGATGTGGGTGCAAGGGACCACACCAAGTTCAGGCATAGCAGGATGCGCATCCTCTGACCCCCTCTAAACCCACTAGGTTACGGGCACCAGATCTGGCTCATGCCTCTGCGGAAAAAGCCAGCAACCCCTTACCAAGCTAAGCACACTGAAAGGCCCTGGCATGAGCTGGGCCTGCCCCGGTGGGGGTGGCTCTTGAGCCCACCAGCTAATTCTTGCTGTGTCCTCCCTGGTGACAGACATGTCCGACCCAGAGCTTCATTCAGATGGATAAACACAACTCATCCACCTAAACGCCAAGGTTTCCTAGTGCCAGGGCACAGCTGCCAGGTGATAGGAAACTCTGACTTCTCAGGAAATCCTGAGTGGAAACAGAGGCTCAGCTGAGGCATGAAGGGACATCGAGACCCCTATCCATTGTCATCTCCACCACTCCCCCTCTCCAGGTAGCCCAAGTGGTTGCTATAAAGTAGTACTCACATCACTCCACTGCCCCACATCAAACCCATCTTCCTGCTGCACCTGGAATCAGGCCCCAGCTCTTTGGCACTGAGCCTGGGAGAACGCTTCTCCTACCTTCTGCCCTCCTGCTCTCCACACACTTCTCCACACAAGCTGCATGGCCGCCTTGCTGCTCCATGGGTGCCAAAGGCCCTCTGTACTGGTTGCTCCCTGTAGCTGGAAAGCCCTCCCCCAGGGGCACACGCAGCTCGCTCTTTCCTTTGACAAGAGTCTCTGCTCAGATGTCATCTTCTCAGCGAAGCCATCTCTGACCCCATTATCTGAATCAGCCGGGTCACCCTCCTGTGTTTGTTTTAGTCTCGCCCCATGGGGTCAAAGCTGCTCTTCAGGGCATGCTCAACTCCTATGCCTCAGCTAGCCTGGAAATGGCAGCTAACGTGGTGCCTGTCCTGAGCCTCTGTGTTGGGCACAAAAGCAGCAGTGACCACGTCTGCTCAGTGCAGCCACCGAGCTCCGGGCAGAAACAGAGCTTCTTGGTCCAAGTCCCATCCTGTCTGCCAGACGTCAGCTGGACAAGTTCAACAACAACACTCAAAACAGCGGGAGCATTCACGATGCCAGATGCTCAAAGAGAGGCATAAAAGAATGAAACCAGGAAGGGCAAGCCCCACAGTACAGGCACACATTTGCAAGGGTCACAGTGACGGGACCTCTTCTCCTCTGCCCAAACTGTCTTTGCCACATTCAGCCCCATCAGCAGATGTGGCCACCACAGCACAGGGAGAGAAAGCAGCGTTCCCAAGACCATGGAGCTGGCCAGTGGAGGCACTGGCCTGAGGGAGACTGTGACCAGGCCATCGGAGAGTGTATCTGGCTTCTCCCAGAGCACAAGAAAATCCATGCTTACCTCCTGGACTTGGCACATTCCTTCCTCCAGTTCTTCACCAACACAGGCACGATTTGCTCTGATGTGTCTTCCTTATTCAGAGACCAGAGGTCACTGCCCTCCAAGGGCTGCCGGTAGCCTCGGATCACCAACCTGTGGCCAAGACACGAGGGGCAGGTGGTGAGCACTGACCAGGGCAGGTGAGTGGGGCTCAGTCCAAGCCACCTGCAACACAGCTGCTAGGTGACAGGGAAAATCCCAACATGAGGCCCAGCAGGGCATAGAGCTAATTCTGTCAGGCAGTCCAGGAAAAAAAAGAGCTTCATCTTTTTTTTTTTTAATGTATTTAGTACAAGGTCTCACTACTCATAATGATCCTGTTTTCTGTCTCCCAAGTGGTGGGATTGCAGATGTAACTACCACGCCCAGTCTCAATCACTGTCTCAGCATGTGGAGCAGGGGATCGAACCTTGGTCCCTGCATCTGCCAAAACAGGCGCTTTAATCGGCTGAGCTATCTGGCCGGCCCAAAAGTTGCTTCATTTCTGAGAGATGCATATAGAATATGTAGGAGGAGAACATCAGAATGCCTCTTACAGTTTCTTTTTCTGTTTTGTTTTTAAGGGACTTTGGGTTCCTACTGTTTCTTGCAGTGATGGGGATGGAACCCAGGGCCTCATTCCAATGAGGCAAGCGCTCCACCACTGAGCCACATCCCCAACTCTGACTTCTTAGATTTTAAATTTGAAAAGGCTAATACTATAAAACATTAGCAGCCATTAAATCTGAGTGATGGGTTCATTTAATTTTATTATGCAGGCTGAATATTCTTTATCCGAAATGCTTGGAACCACACGTATTCAAGTTTCATACTTGTTTGCAATTTTGGAACATCTGCACATACATTAGGTGATAGAAGTCAAGTCTGAACATAAAATTCATTTATATCTGGTGTATGTTCTATCCACACAGCCTGGAGGTAATCTCAAACAACGCTCTTAATGTGCCTGCACGTTGACGGCAGCACAGCACACGAGGTCCGCCTAAGGTTTCTGCCTTGGGCGTGTCGCGGCTGTGCTCAGAGTTTCAGAGTTTAGATATGGGATCCTCAGCCTGTACTAATCTATCCATATGGCTTGAACACGTTCAGAAGAAAAAGTAAACCCAACATTTTTATTTATTTTAAAATAACCTCAGGGACCGGGGAGATGGCTTAGTGGAATAAGTGCTTCCCTGGCAAGCACAAAGGTCTGAGTTCAAGCACAAAGGTCTGAGTTCAATCCCTGGTTCTACCAAAAAAAAAAAAAAAAAAAAAAAAATCCAGTGTTCTGGGGGGAGGAGCAGGGAGATGGCTCAGTAGAATAAACACTTGCCTGGCAAGTGCAAGGACCCAGGTTCGATCCCTGAAACCACATGCCACGCCGGCCCACTACTGAAGCTGGGCACGGTGGCGCATGTCTGTAATCCCAGCACTGGCGAGGCTGAGACTGGAGGATCACTATGAGTCTGAGCTGCGTATTGAGACCCTGTACCAACTAAATAAAAGATTTTTTAAAAAAGTATTTTAAAAAATGTGTCTGTACTGAATACGTACAATTGTTTCTCTTCTCAGTATTCTTAAGCAATATAGTATGAAAACTATATAATATTTACATTTTATTAGGTTAATAATCCAGACATGATGTAAAGTATACAGGAAAATGTGGATAGGGTATAAGAAAACACTTCTGTTTCACACAAGGCACTAGAGCGGCAGAGGACTGCAGCATCTGCAGGAGCTCTGGAAGCGGTCTCCTTTGGATACCAAAGATGATTGTCATTAGTGTAAAAAAACACCCACATCCACAAGCAAGCTTGGAGCTGGACAGCGCCTGGGCCAAGCCTTTCATAGCAGACAGCCACTTGTATTTGTGTGTACATCGCATGCGAGTTCAAGAAGACACAGCCCATGCAGGCGGCCTCAGGACAGCTCTGCAGGTGAGTGGAGGAGAGTGCGGGGCCACACTACCTGTATCCATTCCTCCACCCACCCACCCACCCACCCACCGACCCACCCCTTCATTCATTCATTCCCCACCACTTGCCCAAGGACAGAACCCCGCCCTTACCCTGTGATCCACCAGAAGGTGATCCTCGAAAGGAAGGAGGCACCGGACTCCGGGCAAGGATTCTGGCAGAGAGAAGCACAGGCGGTGGGGGGAAGAGAGAAATGAACAGTAAGCTCTTCACCAGGTCAAGAGAAGTCCAACATCTTCCAGAGGCCCTTCATCGGTTCCTATGCTGCTCTGCATCCCTCACTGAGTCTTCTCCCGAGCTTCAGGAGAAGGAAATGTGTGGGTGTGTCTCTAGTTTCACACACACACACACACACACACACAATTCCTAACTGCTCACTATGTGCAAGTACAAAGAATGTGCTACAGACCCGCCGTGTCATCTCTCTCCATAGCAACCCGAGCAGTTATTACCACTGCTCCATGTCACCACGCATTGAACACGTATTGGCTGAGCACCCCCTATATGTCTGGCACTCTGCAAAGCAGTACAGATCCACGTCTTCCCACATCCCTACAATAACCCTACAGACTGGCATTACTGTTGGCCACCCTGTACTCCATGTATTCATTGAGCAAACATTTACTGAGCAGCAACTATGTGCCAGGCACTATACAACACAGTACAGTCATGCCAAGGGTGGTAGCATATGCCTGTAATTCCAGCATTCAGGAAACTGAAGCACATTTGCCAAGAGTTTAAAGCCAAGCCTGGGCTACATCAGCGAGTTCAAAGCCAAACTGAACTACACAGCGAGATCTCGTCTCAAAAAGTAAAAACGTGGTCTTGCACTATTTTATATTTCCAGAGAACTCTGTGAACATATTACTGTTATCTCCACCTCATGCACTTACTCATCCAACCAATCTTTCCTAACACCTAAGTGCCAGGCATCATGTACACAACTCGGAACAGACATGACCCCCGCCTTTGTGAAGCGTATGCTGATAACCTGCTAACCTGCTTGGTGCTACAGAGGAACACGGATCACCTCATTTAGTCTCCATGACCACCTCACGTGGCAGGTCTAAGTATTACCCTCATTTGGCTGTCAGACGCAGAGGAACAAAGGTGACATGACCTTCTCAGGGTCTCACAGCTAAGTGGCAGTCAGTATGTGTGCCTCAGATTACTTCAGGGAGAGACAGCCGGAATCAAATGATTGAGAAAAAACACACAAACACAAACTATGACTGTGGTAGGTGCCCCAGAGGCGAGTCCGTATTGCCACCAAAACCAGCTCAGTGCTAAGGCCTGTGGCAGAGGGACGCATACAGACCCCAGACCCCAGGCAGCAGCTGCGGCAGCCTACAGGGCAAACTGTGGGCACTGCACACTGGAGGCCACATCAGGCGTGCTGGGCGTCATCAAGCGCAATGCGGAGTCACTGACAGGTTCCACAGCAGCTTTCAAACAGCCTCTTTCTTAAAGGCACGGAGATGCGCCCCAGCCCAACCACACGCGGGCGGGTAGGCATCGTACAGCCCAGGTCCCAGCAGCGTGCTGACATGAGGCCCTTGGAGAGCCTGCTCAGACGGCATGCTCTAACCAAGTGGGCTTCCGCCTAGGCTGGCAGTGCTCTTCAGAGGCACAGCCCTGCAGAGACCCAAAGTAAGCTGGTTTGGGATGCAATCGGGCATCAAAACTTTTGTTTCTGAGCCAGCCAGATAGCTTAGCAGAGTAATAGGCCTGTGTAGGCAGGTGCAGGGACCAGGGTTTGACCCACGGCCTGACATGCAGGTCCCATCCCCTGGGCGCGCGGAGATAGTGACTGAGACTGGGCATGGTGGCATGCTTGGGAGGCTGAAAACAGGAGGATTACTATGAGTCTGATCTGTGTAGTGAGACCCTGTAGACCCTACACTAAATACATAAAAAATAAATAAAAACCTTTTGTTTCTGTTTCCAACTTCTAAATTCTTCTTGGCAGAGACCCTGGCCAGGAAATGTAGAAGATACGCCTGGAACATATTGTTGTACCCAAAGATGAAAACTGCTAAAAGGACCCAGACACAACCAAAAGTGGCTCCAACTGACCAAAAAGAGCCCAAAGTACAATGCATAAGACACATCACCTGCTTAATTATGGAAGTTCATAACGGATACCAGAAAAAACACAAATATTGGTGTCATTGATGAAAAGATGTTTAGAAAACCTAACCACTTAAAAAAAGATGCTTAGGAAGCTAAGCCATTGTTTTGGGAAGAGAAAAAATGAAAATAAGTACCACCCCAACTTTTTCTAAATGAATCATCCCACAGGGTGAATAACGAGAGGAGGGAAAATGTCTTTTCATAGGAAAAAATCCAGCTCACAAATAAAGGAATAAAATAACGATAATGGTATATCATCATAATGGCTTATTGAAACATCTGATGATATTAAACAATAATGATATTAAGTTTATATAAATCTTCATTTTTCAAATAGTATCCTGTTGGGTCAAGAATATATGAAAACACATTATTTTTGCAACTTTTCTGTGATCGAAACTATCTCAAAATTAAAAGAGCAGAAGTAGCTTTTTTCCTCCCTGGCTGTCTGAGGATCTGTTGCCATCATGAATGACACAGTAACTATCCAACCCTGGAAGTTCATGACCAACTGGCTTCTTTGAAGGAAACAAATGGTTATTGATGTCCTTCACCCTGGGAAAGCAACAGTACCTACGACAGAAATTCGGGAAAAACTCGCCAAAATGTACAAGACCACACCCGATGTCATTTTTATGTTTGGATTCAGACCTCATTTTGGTGGTGGCAAGATGACTGGCTTTGGTATGATTTATGATTCCCCGGATTATGTGAAGAAAAATGAGCCCAAACATAGACTTGCAAGACATGGCCTGTATGAGAAGAAAAAGACCTCAAGAAAGCAGCGGAAGGAACACAAGAACAGAATGAAGAAAGTCAGGGGCACCGCAAAGGCTAACGTTGGTGCTGGCAGAAAGTAAGGTAGAGACTGGAGACTAGCCAAAGGCGGAGAAATTCTGCAGTGTCTGTCTTCAGTAATTGCAACTTTTTTCATGAGAGGATGTGATAAACTGTAAAACCTTAAAAAAAAAAAAAAAAAAAAAAAGTAAAGCAAAACAATGCCTGCACTCCAATAATCCATACCAAAATGTTTATGCAGGTGATACAGGGTAAAGTCCATGGCTGCTCATTATACCAGTCTATCCAGTTTATGTGTTCATCATAAAAACTAAATGCAAAGCCCCCGCAGCAATCCAAACACGCGGCTCATGCTATGAGGGATGGGACGGTTCCCAGTCCTGACTGCCCAAGAGACTCACCTGTGGATTTTGCTGAACATAGGTGCCCAGGGCCCCACTCTGGCTGCCTAAATCCGGACCTCTGGGCTGGGCCCCACATGGCAATACCTCTGGTACATTAAATCAATGCTGCTGGTCCAGGGACCAGTGTTCCACACTAACCCAAAGCAAAGTGAGCTTAGTCTGTGGAGCTGGTAAGTTCAAATCCTAACTCTGGTATGTTTTAGCTGAATGACTTTAGGCTAAGTCCTTTTGCCTCCATGCCTTGGTTTTCATACCTGGAAAATGGCAGTATGAATCCGATAGTTTAGCTTGCCTCCTCAACTGCCAAGAGGCCACATAAGGTAGGTACCTGAGGCTGGGTGGCAAGGTGGAGTCTTCCAAACAGAGGTTGCAACATTATTTAAGGAGGAGGTAGAGATAATGACATTGTAGACCAGGCAGAAAAGACTTCATTTTAGCTGGGTTATTCTTTCAGAAGACAGAACCTTCCTGCCCACGGACCTGCCCTCTGCAGCCAGTGCGTGGTGAGTTATCAGAGAATCACAAATCCACTGGGACCACAGCCCAAGCCCTACCTACCGTGAAAAGCTCCAGTGCTTTCAGGGAAGAGGTGAGGGTGGGGAACAGCTGGCAATGACACATCTATTTCTTAGGCAAATATTTAGGGAGGACCTGCTTAAATGCCAGGATGAGGGGGAAGCACCGAACTCAAGGCTGAGAAACAGAGGGCAAGGTCCCTGTCCCCACCCCAAGGGGCATACGGACATGAAGGAAACCAAGAGGCTGTGAACAAATACTGAACTACATAAAAGGTAGGAATGGCCAGATGGGAAAAAGGTGCCCAGGGGAGCAGGGGCCAGGGGTGGCTCCGTGGGAAGCCACTGCCTCAGGGTCAGCGTCTCAGCTCTGCCATGCAGTAGCTGTATGACCTTTGGTCAGCTGCAGGGTGGCAAATATTAAAGTACTCTGTGGTTAAGTACTTAGAATAGTACCTAGTTCAGAGTACCAGCTCAAGAAATGGCATTAGTATAGCAATAAAAACAGTAACAATGGCTTCTATGTGTATCAAAACAGCAAGTTGCTTATCTTACATGCAATTTTATCTGTTAATATGTTAATAAAGCTAAAAAGGAAAGAAAATGGTTCCCATTTCTTGCAGACCCATGAAACACCAAACCCTGTACCAAATGCTTCCTGCAAGGGGATGAGAGGGACAAACAGTGGCCCATCGGCCACTGTTTGTAAAATAACATTTCACTGAAACACAGCCAAGCCCACTCAGTTACCCAGTGTGGCAGCTCTTACACCACAAAGGCAGAGCTGGGTACTGTAGCAGAGGCTACACAGGCTGCAAAGCCTAACATATTTACTAGCTGGCCCTTTACAGAAAAGGTTGGCTGATTCCTGCTGATATCAAACTTCACCACACCCTACAACATGGTGATTATCGAGGAGTGAAACCAGGCCTCAGATGACATCTTTGCTTCCAAATCCAGTCTTCTTTTCACCTTGTTATCAACAAGGAAGACAGCCGGCCAGTGGGAGCTGAAACACAGCCTGCTCCTACACTTCCAGGTCCTGTGGGCACGAGCCCCACCCAGGCTTATCAAATTGAGGCCCTAGCCACTGGGAGAAGACTCTCTGCAAACAGACTAAATTCATACCAGCAAGAGAACATTTCACAGTCTCTAATTTGCATTGGCAAAGCACTACATCTCACCTTCTCCCAGGCCTCCTCCCTCCTCTGGATCCAAACACAGACTTTCAGCTTCTCTGAAGTTACAGAAATAGAGACCAGGCCAGGGCTGCCTTCACCAGCACCGTGAAAAAAATTTGTAAG